GAATGGCTTACCAAATACCAGGCCATGTCTTTAGACAACCCTGAGGATATTATAAAACTTGCAGTACACTTAGTCTTGTCTCACTGATTCCTACTGGCAGAGAGGGTAGCCACTCTTTTGAACAGATGATTTCCAAGATCTATGCCAGCAGGCACGACATTAGTGACATGCCCTTCCAAGGCCCCAAGGAGATGTGCTTCACTGTACAGGTAGCTTTGTGCAAGAAGGACATAGAAAAGCAAGTTATGCAGTTGTCATTTCAAAACAGGTCACTGTTTTACCTATTTTGTCTTCCAATGGGTTCAATGTTTCTGGTTCTATGTTTATATCTTCAATCCATTTTGACTTCAATTTAGTATATGGTGAAAAATAAGAGGCAAGTTTCAATCTTTCGCACACAGACACACATTTTCCCAGTACGATTTGTTGTATGGGCTATCTTTCCTCCAATTTATGCTTTTGGCCCACTTTGTCAAAAATCAAATAGCTGGATGTGTCTGAGGAACTTTCTGTATCCTCAATTCTGTTCCATTGATTCATGTATCTGTTTTTGTACCATGCCATTTTTATAACCAATGCTTTATAGTACAGCTTGAAATCAGGCATTGCTATGCCTCCTGCTTTGCTCTTTTTGCCAAAATTGCATTTGCTATTGTGGATCTCTTCTGGTTCCACATAAATTTTAGGATTGCTTTTTCTAGATCTGCAAAGTGTGTTCTTGGTATTTTGATAGGAAGTGTATTAAATATGAATATAACAGTTTTGGGAGTATGGCCATTTTGACAGTATTAATCTGTCTATCCAGGAGCAGGAGACATCTTTCCATTTTTTGATGTCCTCTTCAATCTCCCTTTTCAGAGTATTATAGTTTTCTTTGTAGAGGTCTTTCACTTCCTTGGTTAGTTTAATTCCTAGGTGTTTAATTTTTCTTGAAGCTACTGTGAATGCTATTATTTTCATAATTTCCTTCTCATCCCATTCATTGTTGGTGTATCAAAATGCTAATAATTTTTCTGTGTTGATCTTGTATCCTGTTAGATCACTGAAGTTCATTACTAATTCTAAGATATTTTTTGGTGGAGTTCTATGGGTTTTCTAAGTAGACTATCACGTCATCTGCAAAGAAAGATAATTTGAGTTCTTCCTTTCCTGTATGTATCATTTTAAAAATTTTCTTTCTCATACCTAATTGCTCTGGCTAATGCTTCAAGTACTACATTGAATAGAAGCAGAGATAGTGGACATCCTTGTCTTATTCCTGATTTTAGGGGGAATGCTTTTAGATTTTGCCCATTTAGTATGATGCTGGCTATCGGTTTGTCATATGTAGCTTTTTTCATATTCAGGTATAGTCCTTCTATTTTCTTCATGGTTTTTAATATGAAGAGAAGTTGGGTTTTGTTGAAAGACTTTTCTGCATGTATTGAAATGATCATATAGTTTTTTACCTTTCTTCTGTTTATGTGAGTTATTACATTTGTTGACTTAAATATGTTCAACCACCCTTGCATCTCTGGGATGAAATCTACTTGGTCATGATGCACAGTAGTCTCAGTTCGTTAACATTTTTGTTTGCAAACAATTTGTTTCACAAACAGAAGTGTTTGGCAAAATTTTGTTTTTGTTTTCAAACTCTGCATCGGATAACAAACATGACTGTGGCTATCTTCCCCACACGAACACAAACAGGGTCATCTTTTCCAAGATCATAGAACAAATTCAGTTCATGAACCAAGGTATAACTTATGATATTTTTGTTAATGTGTTGCTTTCTATTTGCTAATATCTTCTTGAAGATATTTGTACCTATATTCATTAAGAAGACTGGCCTATTCTTTTTTACTTGAATCTTTGTCCAGTTTTGGGATCAAGGTGATACTGGCTTCCAAAAATGAGTTTGGGAGCACTCCATTCATTTCAATTTTTTGGATGAGCTTCAAGAGTATTGGTGATATAACATCCTTAAATGTTTTGTAGAATTCAGCAGTGAATCCATAACGTCATGGTCTTTTTTTACTTGTTAAATTCTATATTATTGTGTCAATTTCATTGCTTACTGGGTTAAGTATATTTATGTCTTCTTGGGTTAGTTTTGGTAGGTTGTATCTGTCTAGGAATCTGCACACTTCTTCAAAATTTGCTAATTTGTTAGAATATAATTTTTTGAAGTAGTCACTGTCTTCTTGATTTCCACAGTATCTGTTGTGATTTCATATTTTCCATTTCTAATTGCACTGATGTGAGTCTTTTACTCTAAGTCTGGATATGGGCTTATCTATTTTATTTATTCTTTCAAAGAACCAGCTGTTTGATTTGTTGATTTTTTAGCTTTTATTTTAGTCTCAATTTCATTGATTTCATCTTTAAAATTTACCTGCTTAATTTTGATTTGGATGTTTTGTTGTTCTCATGTATCTTAAGATTTCTCATAAGGTTGTCTATTTGAGCTTGTTCTGTTTTCCTAAAGTGAGCGTTTATAGCAATAGATGTTCTTCTTAAAACTGCTTTCATGGTATTCCAGAGGTTTCAGTGAGTTGTGCTATCATTGTTATTAACTTTCAGAAATTTAAAATTTCTTCTTTGATTTCTTCTGTGACCCATTGATTGTGCAGGAGTATATTGTTAATCTTCCAGGAGCTGTTAACTTTTCTGTAATTTCTTTTGTCATTGACTTTTATTTTCATTGCACAGTGGTCTGTTAGTAGGTATGGTGTAATTTTTTTCTTTTTTTTTTTTTTTTTGGTACTGGGGATTGAACTCGGGACCTTGCACTTTCCGGGCAGGTGGTGGAACCACTGAACTAAATCCCTGGCCCCAATTTCTATTCTTTTATATTAATTTAAGCAAGCTTTACGGACTAGTCAATGAACTATTTTGTAAAATGTGCCATGTGCTGTTGACAAAAATGTATACTCTGTTGTAGAGGGGTGGAATACTCTGTATATATCCATTAAGTTCATATGTTCAATGGTATGGTGCAGCTCTGAAATTTCATTATTTTTTGATTAGCTGATCTATCTCTTTGTGAAAGTGGGGTGTTAAAATTCCCTACTATGATTGTGCTAGTGCTTATTTGATCATTTAATTACAGGAGTTTTTAGTCTACAGCCATATCACCACCCTGAATGCACTTGATCTCATCTAATTTCAGGAGTTTTTGTATTATGAAGACAGGTACTCCACGATTTGAGGCATATATGTTTGTCAATGTTATCTCTTCTTGTTGGATTGTTCCATTAACTAGTATATAGGGACGTTCTTTGTCTCTTCTAATCAGTTTTAGCTTGAAGTTTACTATGTCTGATAAAATAGCTAACTCTGCTTGTTTTTGAGGTCCTAGTGCATGAAATATTTTTTCCATCCTTTACTTTTTAGCCTATGAATATCTTTTTGGATTTGAATGAGTTTCTTGAATGTCATAGACTGTTGGATTTTGTTTTTTTGATCCAGTCTCCCAATCTTTGTCTTTTAATAGGAGAGGTGAGGACGTTGATATTAACATATATCATTGAGATGTGTTGGTTATTTACTATCATTGCCTTCTTTATCTGTTGGTGTATCTTTTATTTTTTTCCTGATGTTTTTGTTGCTGTTTTTCCATTGACCTCACTAGTTTTCTCTGTGTTTTTACCTGTGTTTGATTCATTGTTTCTGCTGAGAATATTCTCGTGTATTTTCTCTAGAGCTGGTTTAGCACTAATATGTCTTCTGAGCTGGTCTTGTTCACGGAAATGCCTTATTTCTCCACCTGTTTTAAAGAATAGCTTTGCTGGATTATTTAATCTGGGTTGGAAGTTATTTGTTCTTAGGGCTTGAAATGCTTCACTTCATGTTCTTCTGGCCTTTAGGATTCGTGTTGAGAAGTCTGCTGTGATTCTGATTGATTTACCTTAGTATGTGATTTTTTTGTTTTTCTCTGACTTCTTTTAAAATTATTATTATTTTGCCGAATCTCTGGTAATGTAATAAGTATATGTCTTCCTTTTTCATCACTTTTAGTGTCTATAAGTGTTGTTTATTTGTATTTTAAACTTTTTTCTTATATTTGCATAATTTGCTTGTATAGTTTCTGTAAACAAATTAGTGAATCCATCTGTGCTATATTCTAGTTTTTCTATAACTCTGATTAGGCTTAGATTGGTTTTCTAGTTGTCACCTAATAGCTGCTGGGTAGTTTTCTATATAACTCCTCTGATCCTTCTACTGCAACACTGTAGTTAACTCAGACTCAGGATTTCTTTACCCTAGGTTGCAGGCATTCTTGCAGAGTCTGATCCAATCTGAGTTCTTGGGTTAGGAACTCTTGCGGCCCTCTCCCTGGGTATGATGGTGGATTCAGCAGACAGATTCACATTCTGCCAAGTGTGCTTCTTTCCCTATCTTTCTGCCAAGTGTATTTCTTTAATATCTTTAATAAATGTAAAACATTGCTACCTTTTTCAGGTGCCTTGTCCAGTTCTTTGTTCAGTACACCAAGAACTTGGAAATTATCCCTATAATGGCACCCCAGAATCTGGTAACATTTCACACCATTCTCTAGTTAACACTAACCCATAGGAGTATAACAAATAACACTTTAAAAAGACCAAATTTAACAAAATTATAACTTGCAGTCTATAATACTACAGTTAATAGTACATTCCAGGAACAGTCCTAGGGAAGAAATGACATTCCTATACTGACACAGCAACTTGAAAGAAAGTAAAATTTTAAAAAGAGAATTTTAAATGGTGAAAGATATTCAGCCACATTTTTACATCTAACCACTTGTATTTAATGTCAGTGTATCACTATTCATATTAAAATGTAGTTTATACTTTCATGATGACAGCAACAGAATACAGAGGCACCAGAAGACTAACAGTAAATATTTAACTAAGACTGTGTTTCAGGTAAAAAATAAATTCCTCATAAATGACACATTATTCTCTTTCACATGCTTCTGCCATCAACCTTTCTAGAACAGTGCTAGATACACTACTCAACATATTGCTGATTACCTGTTGAATCTGCAGCACTAATTCCTTCAGATGCAAGTAATTTAGCACGAGTTTTTGGAATTTGAGGCATGTAGATGTTTTCAGGGATAATAAAATGTTCTGGAAGGCTCAGTTCTGTTGTAAATAAAATAGACTTAGGCTTCCTCAACTTTGACATATGAAAGAGCATAAAAGTCTGAAAAAAAACGATAAGGTTGGAATGTAATTTTCATCACTTTTATTTCCATAATATAAAAGACATCATTAACTACTAGACACTATATTTGGGAAAAATACTCAAAGAATTGAATTTATTAATTTTTTGAGAGACATTATTACATAGTTGACGGAAGGCAGCACTAACACAATTTGTAGAACCTTTGTAGACACTCTTTATTGAGAGATGGGTTAATGTTTGTTGCTCTAATATTTTTAGTGTTGAGGAATAATTTGCCTAGAGAAGGAACCATTCTAGTAGTGAATAACATTGAAAAAGTACTTCCCTCCCTGTGTTGAAAACTGTGCTTCTTCATATTTACCCATAAAATATAGTTCTTATTAGCAGTAGAGACTGAGCTTTTCTTTCACCAATGACAATTTTGTGAATATAAAAATCAACTAAGTATCACCTTTCTGCAGATGTCAAAAAAATCCTTCATATCTAGGTTTGATGTTTTTAGTTCCTTCAACCATTAGACATATAATGTGGCTTACAAAACAACTCCCATGCAAATGATCTTTTACACACAATATTGTGCTTCTTAAAATAGGACAGTGTAGATAAACTGAGCTGTCACAGTATAAATGAAGCAGGTTATGAGTGACACTTTTAATTCAGTGAAAAAAATGACAGGATACATAGCATGCAATGGATGTCAAAAGACAGGCAAAAACACATAAAAAAGCTTTTTGATTTTTAAGAATTCACAATCTGACAGGAGAAAAAGTAAACACGAAGTAAATCTAATACAATGCATAATTTATTAAGTACAATAATAAATGCAAAAAATGTGCTGGGTTCTAGGGAGAAAGTTATAGGAAAAAGGAAAAAGATAGAAATATA